GATGCAGAAAAGGGAAAAAGGATGCAGAAAAGGGAAAAATGATGCAGAAAAGGGAAAAAGGATGCAGAAAAGGGAAAAAAGATGCACAAAAGGGAAAAAGGATGCAGAAAAGGAAAAAATGATGCAGAAAAGGGAAAAAGGATGCAGAAAAGGGAAAAAGAATGCAGAAAAGGGAAAAAGGATGCAGAAAAGGAAAAAAGGATGCAGAAAAGGGAAAAATGATGCATAAAAGGGAAAAAGGATGCAGAAAAGGGAAAAAGGGTGCAGAAAAGTGAAAAAGGATGCAGAAAAGGAAAAAAGGATGCAGAAAAGGGAAAAATGATGCAGAAAAGGGAAAAAGGATGCAGAAAAGGGAAAAATAATGCAGAAAAGGGAAAAAGGATGCAGAAAAGGGAAAAATGATGCAGAAAAGGGAAAAAGGATGCAGAAAAGGGAAAAAGGATGTAGAAAAGGGGAAAATGATGCAGAAAAGGGAAAAAGGATGCAGAAAAAACAGAAAAAAGTATGTGTGGATAAAAGAACATTTTATCTTTAAAACTAATTTATTTTTATTTTCATGTGAAAGAATGTTTGAAATAATTTCTTGCATGTTAAATAACTTTTATTAATAAATTGATGGTCTTAGAGCAAAAATTAACAATATGGAATCAAATTGAAATATTAATTATTAACAATATGGAATCAAATTGAAATATCAATTATTAACAATATGGAATCAAATTGAAATATTAATTATTAACAATATGGCATCAAATTGAAATATTAATTATTAACAATATGGAATCAAATTGAAATCAAAACAAAATAAAGCTAGGTTTAGGAGAATCTGTTCATACTCATCCTCCAACCAATAAAATAACATTTTAAAAACTTTTTTTCCAGATCATCTTTTTCTTCGCTTATTGTAAAAGTCTAGTTAATTCTGACCTGCCAACCTACCGACCTACCGACCTACCGACCTTGCATAAACATAAAATGACTGAGGTACGTCATATATGAAAATACATTGAATATGTTAAAAGGTTTAAACATGTTTAATTAATTTAATGTTTTTATTTAAATAATGCCCTTTTCTCAACTCTAAGGGCAAAATCATAGACGGAAGGGGGAGGAACCCCCCCCCCCCCCAGTCTATAGTAAAAATAGTCCAGCCGGGATATAGAGTTAAAAAGTAATTAAAGAAGCCAGGAGCTGCTCCAAATATTTGTCAAGGGGTGAGATGAGAAATAAATATCTTTGGATTCCAACGTCGTAAACCTTTGACATTTCAAACTATGACTTTTGTTAGATCAAATAATATAAGTTTGAAATATCAAAGGTTTACGACATTGGGTTTCAAAGATAATGTGATTAGAAAATCAGAGTTTGTTGCAAAGATTCAATTCCTTTGCACGTGTTTTTTTAAGTGTTTACGCACAAATTACAAATATTAATGAATATTCGTCATTTGAAGACAATTAGTAAACATATTAGACATTAACAAAGATAAGAAATATCTGTATAAAAAGGAAGATATTATCGTTATCACTTTAGTCACAAACTTTCTAAAAGATTCTCAGGTAAATATTAAATTTTGTATAAAAATACTAATTCCCGCTTCAAACTTTAATTTTCAAATCCTTTTCACCTTGCAACTAAATTCGAAAATTTCGCAATTTTTGTTTTGCGAAAATTTCGTAACAAAAAAAATTGTCGCGAAATTCAGCATCGTTTTTACTTCCTTTTGCAAAATTCATATTCGTGAAAAAATGAGAAATTGAGCGAAAAAGTTTGCGAAATATATTAGAGAATTTTCGTAAGATTTTGCATTTTTTCGCGAAAGTTTTATTTCGCTGGAAAGCATATTGGCAACCTGATGTTGTAACCTTTTGATATTTTAAAAATTACTTCTGCCAGATAAAATAGTCAAAGTTTGTAATACACACTTTATCGCTTTTAACCTTGGTTTTACCTAACAGAGCCACCAGCGCGCTTCTCTCTATTAAAAAAATTATTTAATTGGAGTACTTGGCAAAATACTGCTTTTCCGTCAGACCGTTTCAAGTGTATCCTTGTGGATATTTTGTTGTAAGAACCCAAGATATTAAATTAATTTGAGGGATCAAGCACATTTTATTTTGAAATTTAAATGGAAATCATAATCATTGACTAAATAGATTAGCACTATTTCATAAAAATTGTTGACCTCATGTTGCAAAGAATTATGGATGAGAAAATTAGAGTTTCAGTTTTTAGATAAAAGAAATGAGATTTTGCCACAAACTTTGATTTTGTAATTCCTAAAGCGTCGCAGCTTGATGTCGTAGATCTTTGATATTTAAAACTTTGAATTATGTTTAACTCAAAAATCTAATTTTGAATATTCAAGGTTTCCACCACTAGGTTGCACAGATATAGGGATGAGAAAATCCGAGTTCGTGGCATGAACTCAATTCCTTTGATTTTGATTTGACATGATTATCCTCGTTATACTGATTTCTGTCTAGAATGCTGAAACTGGCTGTATTGTGCTGCCTGCTAGGAGCTGTTATGTCTGCCCCCCAGACCAAGAATGAGTTAACCTGTGATATCTGTATTGATGTAATCACAGATCTTGATAACTGGCTAACCAGTGATAAAACAGAACAAGAGATAGTCGACTTTATGAAGGAGGTAACAGTATATCAAAACCTTTATATTTGCAACATAATAGTGGAATCCTTTGACATGAGAAACTTTGACTTTTTTCAATCCAATCGAGTTCTATTTTAATTATTAAATATCTACAATCAATTGTTCCACATGTTTCAGTGCAGTTCAGTGGCAATCAAGTGTATGTTGATGTTGTCAGAAAATAGTTTACTAGTAACTTAATAAATCACTTATTGAGTGAAATGGGTCTGTTTACACTGCAACTGCTGTGTCTCATTTTCATTGGACTATTTCATTCCAAGACAAACAACTTTAAGTCTAAAAGTTGTCTTTCTATTCCAGTTCACACTGGTGCTAACTCAATTTTTAAAGAACATTTTTTTTTTCTTCAGATTATTGTTTAAAAGATAGAAAGTTTCATGAACATTTTAAAAGCTTTAAAAATTTCTTGCAACTTTTTTTGTCTTGTTTAGATTTCCGAAAATCAACGCTAAAATTTTGAATTTGTTTAAAAATCGAAAGTTTCATTTAAAACCTTCAAAATGACTTGTTTTTAGATTTGTGCAGCTCTTGGTCTGATCCTACCCGACCTTGAAGCCACCTGTAACGAGCTGATGGATGCCCAGCTGCCCGGTATAATTGATGATCTTGTCAACAACAACCTCAACCCTACTGAGGTCTGCACAAACATCGCTGCCTGCCCTTAAATTCGTGGATATTGTAATAATTAGGTGCAAATAAACTTTTATTAGAAAAAACACCAGATTTTTTCTTTTTCCATAATTTGTTACGAGATCAAAGAGAATGATACAAATTATCACATGGAAATCATATTACAGATAAAGGTAAAATATATTTGACTGAAATAAATTTTGAGGAAGAAATGGAGTAAATTAAAGAGGAAATAGATCAAAAATGAGAAAAGGATAGTGAAGGATCCTTATCTAATTAATTGTATCAAAACAAAGACGACAGTTACTATGATTTGAATTGGAAATTCAGGTATGCGCACAAACTCAAAATTCCGATTTTACCGTAGATGAAAGTCGTATGAATAAGAAACCAAATGACTCATTTACCAAAGATTAAATCAACACAACCGAAACTAAATAAAATTACTAAGAAATCCAATTCAGAATCAACAATATAGTAAGTCAGTTCGACCATAGTAAAAAAAAACCTAAGGTTTGACAATAGGTCCAACCCAAGAACTAAGAAATTGGACTTTACGGTCGAACCTTAGGGTGTTTTTTTTGCAGCTGCAGTCCATTAACCCTCCCTGAGTAAATGAGAGTACCTTGTTTACTTGTCTCCTGTTTATACTTCTAATTAAGACTAAATGTTTACTAGTCTCCTGTTTATACTTCTAATTAAGACTAAATGTTTACTAGTCTCCTGTTTATACTTCTAATTAAGACTAAATGTTTACTTATAGTCTCCTGTTTATACTTCTAATCAAGACTAAATGTTTACTGGTCTCCTGTTTATAATTCTAATCAAGAAATAAATGACCATTTAAAGTTAAAATCTAAAATAGAGTTCCTTCTCATCAAAAAGTTAAAGATATAATTATTCATCTTAAAGGGACTGTTCAGGTAAAATGAAAGGAGGTATAGATTAAAGCCTAGACATGTTAGGAGTTGATCGCAATCAATATTATTTCTATAATTTATTTCAGATAATATGTGCAAAGGATAAACATTTTCAATTCTAAATATATTTAGAAATACCCCTCTACAATTTTGTACCACAATTTCCAGAAAAATTATTATTTATTTTGTATTATTTTAGGGTTAGGTTGGGTTTAGACATGCTGCGGCTATAATATGCTAGGGGGCCGGGCGCTGCGGCCACATGACCAATTTTATCCATGTGTTACATATGAGATTAGTGTACAAAATTGACAAGACGGAGGAGGGGAGATTTGGGTTGGGGGGTCCAAAAATCGTATACTATAAAATTACCTAAAATTGAGAATTTTCACAAACATAATACGCTTAAGTCAATAAATATGAATATCAAAATTTCTGCTTCAGCTTGCACTGTCGGCGTTCATATCAATACAACGAAAACGGCTTTTATAATTAAGCTTTTTTAACAAGATTTTTTCTAAATTAAAGATCCATGTGTTATGTGTATCCATGTGTGATGTGTATCCATGTGTTATGTGTATCCATGTGTTATGTGTATCCATGTGCTATGTGTAGCCATGTTTTATGTGTATCCAAATGTGTTGTGTATCCATGTGTTATGTGTATCCATATGTGTTATGTGTATCTAAGTGTTATGTGTATCTAAGTGTTATGTCTCTCCATGTGTTATGTGTATCCATGAGTTATGAGTATCCATGTGTTATGTGTATCCATATGTTATGTGTATCCATGTGTTATGTGTATCCATGTGTTATGTGATCCATGTGCTATGTGTATCCATATGTTATGTGTATCCATGTGTTATATGTATCCATGTGTTATGTATATCCATATGTGTTATGTGTATCCATGTGTTATGTGTATCCATGTGTTATGTGTATCTATGTGTTATGTGTATCCATGTGTGATGTGTATCCATGTGTTATGTGTATCCATGTGTGATGTGTATCCATGCTGTTTTAAAGCTTCATAAAAATCAAAATTGAAATCGTCTTAATTGTATTGATATATATGACGACGCCTGAATAATGTGGTTTTTATTCAAAAGTTTTTAGTGAGGTTCTTGAAAAATTACTATTTGTAGATATTGTTCTCTCCCTTCCTCTGAGCTGGTTCTGAAACAAATATTTTTTACTGAATACAGTGAGACCCATAACACTGTGGATTAAAGGGACGACATGTGTTTATTAAGTAGCTAAAAAATTAACCTTTCAAGTGAAATGGGTCTGTGTACACTGCACAGTGGCTGTATTGCTTGTTTATTAGAGTATTTAATTCAATATTCTACAGTTTAATGGGTCCCCACTTTAATAGACGTTGGGAAAAAAATTTCTGTGTAAGGGCAATCTGCATGGTATTCTTACTTTTTGAATTTACAAATCTTTTTTCTGAATAAATCTCTAACTCATTATCATATTGTATGCCGGATTCACATCGGTCCCTTTACATATTACTCTTAGTAAAATTTAAAAAATCATTTCCTATCTTAAAAATGAATTAATTTGGTTGATTTCCTTCCTTGTCTCTGCTGCATAAGTAAACAAGTTCATCATGTTTGCTCAGTCCTTATATACGGGTTTAAAGGCTACAGATGGAAATCAGGGAAGTAATTCTTAAAAGTGTTAAGTGTCTTTAATCACAATAGCAGTCGACCATTAAATCAAGTGTTCCTTTATGAACAGAACAATTTTTTCGAACAAACTTTTTAAAATCGTTTTCGTACTGAACGAACAAACGAATTCACTTAACAAACGATTTATTTGAATAAAAGAACCATTTAACTGAACTATCGTTTAGTGAGAAAATGAACAAAATAGATCGAAAGTTAACAATACTTTATAGAACGAACAATTATATTTATTTTGAACGATTGAAAAAAAACGAAATGGGTCGTTCACAATTGATAAACGAACGAAAAAAAACACGCCCATCTCTGGAAGTAAAATTGGAAAGATCAGGGTGCGATTTAAAATTATAAACCTGAAATCCAGAAACTCCTGAGACAGTGCTACTTCTCCTTCGAGGAAAATTTCTTACACTCAACCTATTCCTCTCATCTATATCCTTAAAAATTATACATAGATGTATTATATGTATAATTTTGATTTTTGTTTGGTGAGATCACATAAATAACTTAAATTTAGTTTTTAAAGGGACTGTCATTGTAATTTCAAGGGAGCCTTCTGTTAAAAAAAGAGCATCTCTGATTCATAACGGTCTGCAGAAACCTTTTTCTGATCTATAATGTTGATAATACGTAGTTTTTTTGGTTAAAAAGTGTTCAATTTTGATAATTTTTTCTACATTTATTTTTTTGCAGTAGATATTTACTTTTGAAGAGAAACCACAAATGAAATAATCAGTTTTCCAAGTTATAAATAAAGTTTAATAATTCATACTTAATCTGACAAAGCTTTGATGGGTACTGTTGTGAATCGGACATGCCACTTTATAAATAGAGTGTCACTTACTTCTAGAGTCTCTTTAAAGGGTACCTATGTATCTATCAAGCTTTGCATCTTTAGATTCTTTGTTAATGGCCTTCACAATATCCGTAACCAAATTGAACATATTTACCAAGAGGTTCATGAATAGATTATACACCGGGTTATCCACAATAGATGAAACATAAGAGACGAAAGTGCAGAATTTATTTCGTTAATTTTTTCCTTCCTTCAACTGTTATCTTGTTTCTATCTTTGACAAATCCTATATAACCCCTATATTTTAAGCAGAGGCTATAAGCTAACTTTTGAGTCGTCATAGCTTAAGAATTTTAAGTCGTTTTACAGCCTTAGCCTTTGTGGGTAACCCTATATACTATGCATACTTCATACATATTAAATTTTATCTATCTACCTGCTGATCAAACAGATTGCTATGCTGATTAAGAAGACCTTTCCGAAGTAATTTCTTAGCATCCTTCTCCTCCTGTCCACCTCCAGGTCTTAGCACTGCATGCCCATATGTTGAGGCCCCCCATTGAGGCCTCATTTGGGAAAGTCTGAATAACCAAATGTTGATTTCTTACATTATTAAATTATTTTATGATATACCTTGAAACAGATGAAATGCCAGACCGTATGCTGTCTTTCCTTCCAATGGGTTGAAGAAAATTATTTGAAGTGCCTTTTTCAACAACTACGTCTAGTACAGTGGTAGGCTCAGAAGCTTCATAGCCCTGGTTAATAAACTCTAAAGTTTTTTCAATAGTTTTCTTTGGATCATAAACATTTTCAAGATGGTCAGCAAGAACAATCTCCTCAAAAAGTTTCTTCATGTCATGATCTTGATCAGGGTTACAAAATATTTTCATCATCACCTCCTCATCAAACTTAAAGAACTTGGTTTGAAAATAAATATACCCATGTCGACCAGTGACTTGATTGATCCCGGTAATCATCTGCTCCATCATTGAATCATTGAGTTCTTCCATCAGAGACTTGTGTTCCTTGGCCTCCTTGTCAATGTTAAGTATATTAACCAAAGGTTTAATTGTTCCCCCCTGAAGCCAGATTGTAAACATCACTACTATTAGAGTTGTGCTGACAAGCATATCTGCAGACGGAACTATGTTTCTCTGTATACTAATTACCAATGAAAACCCCACAGCCCCCCGAAGCCCACCATATGCCATTATAAACTGCTCCTGCAAGTTTATTGGCTTGATTCGGAAACGGTTGAGGAAGAATGTGAAAAAGTACACTCCGATGAACCTAACAACAAGACAAAAGACTAGCGTCCAGCAAAGAAATCCGGTATGTATATTCCAACTCCAGCTCTCCTCTCGACCCCATAGAGCTTTTCCAAGGTATAAGAATATTACTGAATCCATGGTAGAGCTAAGCATCTTACTGAAGTATTCTATCGTGATGTGGGAGTTCCCTTGGATATTCTTAAAACTGTAATGAGCTTGTACGATACCGCATCCTATTAGACTGATAATTCCAGACCAATGAAACATCTCTGCTAAATAATATGCTGTGAAAGCCATTCCGATGACAATCAGAGGTTCAATAACACTGACTTCCGATGTAGTTCTGGTAACAAGACCTGTTAGGAGACCAATTAAAATTCCAATAGCAAGGCCGCCAAAAGCAATAGTTATAAATGAAGCACAGCCAAGCAAACATTGTTCTAAAGTGATTGGTAGTCCAGCGGCATCTAACTCTGCAAATGAGTTCATCATACTGTAGAATACTACTGCTACGCCATCATTTAGCAAAGACTCTCCAAACACAATGTAGTAAAGTTCCGAGTTGACTCCAACCTCCGCAAATATGGCCAGGACTGCTACTGGATCAACCGCTGAATTGAATACAGAATAGGAATTTTATGAAAGCTGAAATCCTAAAAGCAGACTTTTCCAGAGAACATACTTTCTCAACAAATATTTACGAAACTTTAAGCATAATTGTTTAATTCTTATAATTCCTATGTGTTTTCTCTAGAGAAACCTGATTGTAAATTATCAATTTTTAAAATATAAAACAATTGATATATAAATTAATTCTTATTCAGACAAAGCTTTTAAGAGTATTGTTTTCTATCAGGCATTGCATCATTGCATGGAAGATCACTTGAAATTTTGCTTACAGTCCATTTAAAGGATTTTGTACGCTCTGAGAAATTAATCTTAGTGATTACTATTCTGTATTCCCTGATATTAAACTAGCAAATGTAAATATTTCAACTGACGTCATATTATGATAACTAGTCTCATTTACACTGAGAAAAGGGGGATTACTATTTAAAGGAAACCCTTGAAGAGTTCAATGAGGAATTAATCTTAATTGGCACAAGAAAACTTCTTTGAACGTTGATATGTCTGTCAAGAAGGAAAATTGTAACTTTGATTATTTTCCACAAAAGTTGTTTTTGCTTTTGTTTGATTAGAGTTACCAACAAAGGATGATACTTCAAAGACGACTGTATGGAATTTAGTCCGCCTTTTTTCTTTAATTCCTGCTATGCTGCAATTGAAAACTTTGTTTTTTTGTGCTAAATCATTTAATATACTTATGCTATCAAAACCTTGACCTTAAGATCTTCATATTTTAACAGTTTCAGATTGTCATTTCCTTTGTGGGTAGCTCTGTTCAAAATTAAAGGGAGTGACCGGCTATGTAAGGTAGTTGAACTGAGGACGCAGTGTTGTGGAAAACTTCTTTTGGATTCATTTGAGACATATTTCACTTTTTAAAAGTCTGTAAATCCTGAGTTTGAGCGCAAATTCGACGTTCAAAACTCCTGATTTGGGGGTGGATACGCTTTCAGAATTAGTTTTTTTAAAATTATTAATTAACGACGACATAAAATGTAAAAATATTCTACAATAAACTACAGACGTCATGTTTAGGAACATTTTGAGAAAATAAAAATTAATCTTATCATCGAAAATAAGTAATCTTGTTTAATTATTAATTTCTATTATCTCATTATTCTAGTTTCTCGTTATTCACAAAGATGTTCACCGATTTTCTATAACTATTATTGAAAAGACGACATTTAAAGAATTTAAAGAAATCTGCGAATAAACTCAAAGAAAATTAGAAATTCAATATAATAATGAAAACGAAATAATCGATTTTAGCATTGATTTATTGACAAATTTCTTTTGTGAAATATGTTCCTAGCCATCTAATTACATTACTGTATAATTTTTAATTTATTTTTCGTTGTCGTTATTTAATAATTTAAAAAAATTCTGAAAGCATATCCAGCCCCAAATCGAATTTGTCGAATTTGCGCTCAAACTCAGGATTTACAGATCTTTAAAAAGTGAAATATGTCTCAAATGAATCTTAAAGAAGTTTTCGACAACACTGCATACCCAGTTCAATTACCTTACATAGCCGGTCACTCCCTTTAATGAGGGAAGAACTTATGCCAGGATAATAAGTAGAAATATCTGAAAGTTTGTTCATACGTCTGATCAGTGATCATAACTCATGTACCCCTTAACCGATTTGGAATTAGGAGATCCTGGGAATGTTTAGAAATGTTTAGAAACTTTTATTTTAGTGGGTTGACTTTAAACTTTAATAGAGAAAGTTTGGGTTGCAGGTAGAGCTAGGTTCCCAAGCTAGTCCTGAATAAAATTGATAAGGGCAAAAGTCCTCTGCAGGTTGAGAATAGTTTATGGGATCAAGAATTGTGAAAAATAGGGGTAAAGTAGTTGTAAACCCCCCTGATTCTAATAGTTCCAGAGCTCTCCATCAACCCTAGTTGATTTGTCCCAACAAGTAATCCTCCAATCAACAAGAAGTTAAAAAGTGTTCCCTAAACAACAAAAACAATTAAAAATTAATTATTCAAATCATTTTTTTTTTCTTTTTCCCCGGAGTCTTTAATTTGTTTCCATAATTTAACTAAATCCGCATACATTTTAGATGAAGAGAGAATTAGCTACTAGGGTTTTTTATCATTCTGGAACAAAATTTCCATCTTGGAAATGGAATGATCTGGAAATTTGTTGCGTAAAGTGGAATTCCAGGATAATTCCGGATCAAATGGGAACTGGAATGTTTACAGTTTATGTGACGTAATCTGAAAATTTTCCCGGTTTACGGAATGGAAACTGTAAAATTTCCAGTTCCCATTTAGTAACCCTCAAATTTTTCCGGTTTAGGTAACGTAAACCGTAAAATTCTAGTTTATTCCAGGAATATTGCCCCCCCCCCCCTCCTGTTACACTACTGCTAGTGCGCGCACATTCTACCAAACTATGTTAGTTTTACTTACTGGTTTTGTCTTTAAGAGGCTTTTATGCAATTCTGCTTCCTTGTTCCTGAAAATTCCGGAACGATTTTTCTGGAAACTCTCCGAAACGATTTCCGTAAATTTCCGGTTTAGAGGGGGAAAGATTGTTCCGGAATTCCGGACTTCCGGAACCTTTTGCATAATGGAAATGGAAAAAATTTCCGGATTATTTAGTTATCGGATACTATGAATAAATATTTACTTTTTACTTTTGAAAATGGGTTGTATTTACTTCAAGTGCTTTAGAATTAACACATGTTATAATTCTAAATATTTTTTTGTTAAATACTTTTTAACTATTTAATTTTTTATAATATAAAAGTTACCACAATAGCAAAAAGTAGAATAGTTCGGATGTTATCTAAATAAGTATGCCTTTAAACTTTAAATATTTTGTCAAATTTTTCACTCTTTGAGAATGAAAAAAAAGCTTATTTTGATTTGAAATATGACCAGTTTAAAGCACCTTCTGGAATTGAGTCTTTTCCACCAACTCAAACTTTCTCATCTTTATATCTTTGCAACCTAATGATATTTCAAACTTGATCTAACAGAATTCATAATTTGAAATACCTAATGTCTACAACATTGGGTTGCGAAGATAAAAGGGTTAGATAATAATAATTTGTGGCAAAAATTTTCCCAACTTTGATTGATTGATTAATTGATTAATTGTTTGATCAATTGATTGATTTACTAATTGGTTTGTTGGTCGATCAAATTAGTTGTTTGATTAATTTGTTAATTAATTAGTTGATTGATAAATCAATAGATTTATTGGTTGATTGGTTGATTATCAGTATAAAAGCTACGATCCTAAGAATGCTTTATGATGAAGAGAGTAGGCTGCCTCCAGGATGATCGGAGGTAGAAGGAAATGGAAGAAGAATTCTGTTGTGAAGGGAGGCAGCATTGTTAACCCTGATAAAATATAAACTTTTGTAAAGGATTGTTTTGAATCCCTGGGGGTCACGGGAAGCCGTAGTACATTTGAAGTTCCGAGCCGGGACAATATTTCCGGTCCCAGTTTGTACTGTACCTAGCTCTATGGACAGGACTAGCTGGTGCAATAAGGTTGACGCGGTCAGACTTTGTGCTTCAAATAGGTTGAATTTACTTTTACTAAAGGGGCAGAGGTGCGTGGGATAAAAACCATTAACGAGACCTGGAGTTATAACTTGTGTATTGTAAATCTGGGGATCAAGCATTGATCTCCATCTTATGCATCTAAGGATTGATTTAATTCTTTTTTGATATACAGCGGTCAGGGGCGTATTCAGGAATTTGTCCAGGGGGGCTTAAATCTTTTTCTCTTTCCAGGGGGGGGCTCAGCACCCGTTGGGGCCTGAAAACCCCCTGAAATCAATAGATTTCACTGGTCCAGAGGGGGCTTAGCCTCCAAATCCCCCCCCCTGAATACGCCACTGACGCTCATGGTCAGACCCTGCTGGAATAACTTTAATCCAGGAATCAAGTATTAATCCTCAGATCGGAAATCAAAATACAAAATAAGGAAACTGAACATTTTTATAATTGAAACTTTAAATATTTGACTTCAAAAATATATTTTCATTCGTTAAAATGTTTTCTAAGAGATAATTTATTACTGGCGAAAATATTTGATATGTGTTTTAAAACAAAGACAAACATTTTACATATAGTTGTTTCGTATGCTTTTTGAATAAAAATAGTTTTTTGACATTTCATACAGGCCTAATTGAAACATTAAATATTGAAGATATTCTAAGCGTCAAAATCGAAACCCAAAATTTCAAAAAAAACAAAAAAAAATGAAAGATTATAAATTAAATTAGTATGAATGAAAACATATTTTCTATTCCAGCTGGACCCCCCCCCCCTTCTGACGTTTTTTGTAGATAACTCAAAAAGTATTGGTCTGAGGCTGTTCATTTTTTTTTACTTTTCTAACCAACACATGTCCCTCACTTTAGGATAAAAGCAGGGCTTTTATACCTACTGCCTAATACCTCAGGCATACTGCTTGAATGTCTTATTTATTCAGGTATACTGTCTGAATGGTTTATTTACCATTCCCGGACTAAATCTTCATTAAGACCTACTTTCGTCCTTGGATTTCGACATTTCTTTGGAAAACCATGAACAAAAGAAAGCAGATTGCACAATTTTTGCGAATAATTTGACATAGATATTTGCACAAATGCCTTTAAAGAGAAGTTGTACATTTTTAGTTTTTCTTAAATACACATGTATATTTGAAATGTTGCAAATATTTTTGCATATTTACTTACGCCGTGTCAATGACTTTTCAAAATGTATAATATATCTTGTTCCGCGCACTTTTTGTTTTTGCACATTTTTGTTTTAATAACTTGATGCATTGTTGCAATAAATATCTAAAATTTTGCAAATTTGCTGACTTTTTTTGCAGATTATAATAGTAGAGCCCGCGCATGGACTTTCCAAACGTGTATGAAACGTTATAGATTTGTATCACAATAAGGAAATAGGGGTTCCCTGGGATGTCCCACCCCGGAATATTTTGGGTAAACCAAACGCCAGCCTGAATGGAATTAAATATACCTTTAATTTAGTTATTTTTAGTTATATTTGAAGTTTTGTGTGAATATTCTTTTATTACATCTTACCTCCGAATTCTATGAGAGCCCCAAATCCGACCCCGACCAGGACTAACAAACTTTTAAAAAAAATTTTATTTATATTTGTCAGAAATCATCTTTTTTGGTTTGGAGGATTTTTTAAAGGCCCAGTAAACATAATTTCAAGTGCTCCATTATGTTCGATACTTAAAAATACCCTTAAAAGCCTTGTCTAATCAAGAATGAATTAGATATATATGCTTACGAATTTGAAAATGTTTTTATCTTTGAGTTCTCTACAAAAGCGACTTGCGTATTTATTGCTACTGAAACAATCGAGAAATGCACAGAATTAAACACTCTTAAAACTAAAAATAAAACTTGATCATCCGAATTATTGATCAGATTAAGGTCTTCAGGGTAACGCTGTGAATCGGAATTTGAAATGAATAGTTACTTGAAATATTGATAAATTTCATTAGAGGGAGCCCCCTTCCAGGAGCTCAGGGTGGGACCCGTGGACCCAGGACGGGGGGACCTCTAGTCATAATATAATAAGATTTGATAAAACTTCTAATTCTGGGTGGTGATTATATAAGAAGAGATTTCCACTAAGTAAAATTTGTTGATTTTTTTTGCAGCAGCAACTCTAGCAAAATGTGGAATTCCGCACAAAGAGTTTTCTAAATCCGCAATCGGATTTGCATAAAATTGGACATTTTACTTCCGCTGGAAACCCTTTTTATGATTCCTTGGCTTCAAATGACTCACCATGACTCTGGTACTCTGGAGGAGAGAACATGAAAATGATGGAAAATGATCTTCGCTAGTCCTGAGAGTACTACGAAGGTAAAGATCAAAACAAAGGGTCCCAACTCCTCCCATCTAAATTAGATGACATCTGAACTTGATCTTTATATAGATTAGATAACATCTGAACTTGATCTTAATTTAGATTAGATAACATCGAACTTGATCTTTATCTCGATTTGATAACATCTGACCTTGACATTTATCTTGATTAGTTAACATCTATGTTGAACTTCCCCAAGATAACTTAACATCAGACCTTGACTTTCATTCATATAAGTTGACATATTGACCACATAAAGACAAAAAACGAATTCTCTAAAACTGACCTCACTCAAACCATTTATTGACCTCCCAAGAAACGTAAAATTACCTCACAAAATACAAAATGGCCTCACTTAAAATGATCTTACTTCAATCAAGAATTGACCTAACTTTAAACGTGAAAGACCGTCTATAATTGATCCTACTTAAAACGTGAATGACCCCCTAAACCGTAATCATGATTCCACTTAATACGTGAATGACCCCCTACACCATTTTTTAAACAGGTAACAAGAATTGACCTCAGGAAAAACGTGAATGACCATACATAAGACATCATTGACCTCACCTGAAACTGACAAGATGAACTCCAAGCTCATGATCTTCGTCCTCCTCTATTACATTATCATCGATTATTTGATTCAGATTTTTTATCTTAATTTTAAGGACTTGCTTTTTCAATTTTTGAACTGTAAGAAAAAATGTTTTCTAAACTTTTAACTATGTTAATTGTAATTTTAATATCTAAGCCAACAAAATATTTAATATTTAAACAAATTAAATTGAAAAATGTTTGATTCACCTTCGTGCTCCTCATACACATTCGCCATTTTATACTGAAAAAAATTAAGGTCTAAGATTAGGATTAAGATAATCTACATAAAACAATCTAGGTTGATAATATACAATTTAATTTATTTCATAAAACAAATGATCAAAATATACAATTTAAAGGGACTGTAACGAAAAAAATAAAGGCGGGTATATGCTGAAAGCTATAATCACTTTAGCTCTTGATCGCGACCCATATAAGTTATATCTCATGTTCCTGTCTCGAGAAATTGATACAAGACTGTGTCAAATTTATTCGAAAATTCATATACACAGTTTTGAAAAGAAATAGTAGGTTTAAACAGATCATATTCAGAAAATATGCAATCAAAGAGAAACCTGATTGTAAAATAGGGTTTCTCCACTTATTATTTGATAATTTTTATTTTTATTCTTAATAGATATAATTGATAATATTATTTATAAGTCTGTATTACGTCACCAGAGCTCCCACCAATGGTAGTGCAGTATAGTGGTCATGTGTCTGTATCACGTGACAACTATACTACAATCTCCTTCATTTTTCCTTTACAGCGCCTGCAATATAATTGATAAAACTATAATTTAATATGATCAATAATATGCAATTTTAAATTTTTATTAAATTAAAGTTTTTAGATGATCAAAAATGAATATTTAATAGATAGTATAAAATTCAGATTTAATTTAATCATAAATTAAAATTCATGTATTTGATCTAAGGTCTCCATATTATCATTAAACCAAAATGACACTGCACTGACAGTTAATCATTAATGCTGTACTCAAGAAATATTTAAGATAATGTTTTCCAGTGAAGAAAATAAATATAAAGAATGAAAGGTGAACTAGGGATGGCATGGTCTGAAAAACAAACAAATCGTTTTCTCAACGAAAAAGAGAAAACTAAAAACGAAACGATCGTTTTGAAAAAGATAGTTTATAAAATAAAAACCATTGTAGTATTTTTAACATTGTTAACGATCGTTACGAATAAACTAAGGTACGTTTGTTGGATTAAAAAAACGTGAAATAAAACTGCTTCATTTTTGAAAACAACTTCCATCCTAAGGAACAGCTAGCTAAGAATTGCTTCGTAAAATGTAAAATGTAAAAGCTCTCATTGTAATTTAAATTCATATCAATTAATTTTTCTTGTTTCGTTATGTACGTCTATAAAGCTGAAAACTGTTAAGTGTTATAGGGTAGAAAGTTTAAGGCTACAAAATATCATTATTGGTGAAAAAATTTCGAATTTGAAAACTAAAATTCTAACGATTAAAGGGGCTGTAAGCGTTATTTTAAGTAACCATTTATTTTCAGATGGGCATCCCCGAATCATAATCAGACAAAATTTGGAAGACTTCATTGTTTCTTAAAATCAAAAATTACGCAAGTAACTTTAGAAGAGAAACCACAAACCGGTTCGAAAAAACAAAAACATGCTTATCTAATATCTAATATCTAATATCTAATATCTAATATCTAATATCTAATATCTAATATCTAATATCTAATATCTAATATCTAATATCTAATATCTAATTCATTCTTAATTAGACTAAAATTTAAATTTGATCGGTCATTGCTATCTTTGCACAGAAAATGGTTGAAATTAAGCTTACAGGCCATTTTATTATCTTTTGGCCCATTGGCTATTTTATGCAAATATAAAGTCATAAACTTGATGTACATGTTCAATTGAACAAATTGTGCATTGGATGCAAAAAGTATAAAGATAGCTTATTCGTTTATCTAAAAGTTTCGAGCTTTGAATATTTTGTAAATGTATCACTATCATAATACATGTACATTGTACATAAAAAATTGTACAACGCTGTACATATTATATCGTATATTGTATACACATGTTTTCCATTATATTCTGACATTTTTAAAATGCAGGCTCTGTGTTTTAATATGTTATGTAAAGGTTCTTGTTTAAACTAAGTTAAATATTATATATATCGCATATATAAGACGGAAAGTCATAAAACTGTAAGATATGAACTAATCTCACCTTTGTTAACTTAACTATATTTACATATATTACTCAGAAAACATGTATACATACAATGTACTTACTGTTACAAGAACTTCTAACGTTATGATCGACCTTCAGAAATTGAACAACGAAAGATCGACCTATCGAACAATCTGTGAGAATAGGTTAACGCTAATTTTATCTCTTTGACATCGTTCATACTTTCAGGAACACCTTGAATAATTTGCCGTAATTTTTATTCGAAAACTCGAAAGAACCACGGGCATGTTCTTAGTTTGGTTAAAAAGTTTCTAATTTGAGTAAGTTGACTTTCACAGGAAAAACTTATATTTCAAATGTGCACATATACAACAAGAAAATACAGGTTCATCCTCCCAGAATTAGACTTCAAAGACGACTGTGCCTATATTTCCTACATTATTTGTTCCGTGTAGCGATAAATGTTTTCTTTCTTAAATAAGTTAAACAATCATTTAAAAACTATATTCAAGGCAGATAGCATATAGTGGTCGGCGTTAATATCAATACAATGAAGACGACTTTTCTATTTAAGTTTTGATTTCTAATTCGAGCATTCTCAAATAGCAAGTTTTGTAAACAAATGGAAGCAGTTAATTGACAGCTTCTCATTGTTTCCAGTTTATGTGTATGTTTGAAAGCTTGCTAGAAATCCAAAATTGAAATCAAAAGTAGTGTTCATTGTATTGGTATTCAATTTAAAGATTCGAACAAGTTAAAAAGCTTCAAAATGTTGTTGTTGTAGCCCAGAATAGGTCAGGTATAAACTTCTTTCTCTTCTATTATTTCTTCTACTTGTAAACCAAGATGAAGGGCAGTTTCTCCTGAGCCCGCGATTTAAAAACTTCAGCTCGAGCTGTAATTTCTCAAACCCGACTTTAAGACCAAATCTTCGACCCAACTCTGACGTCAGCTTGAGTCACGTGATTGACAGCTGCAAGATATTTGGCTCGACTCAAGGAGTTATGCCCAATGAAAATAAAACTGACCTTGGTTGGTTTTAGTTGAGAATAAGGCTCAATGTTGATTCTTGTTCTCAAAAAAACCGGAATTCGCCAATTCCTTACAGGAAAATCCACCAAATAGAATATTTAACCGGTTTTTAAAACTCAACTCTGTTGAAAATAAGATGCAGCTCGAAAAGCTCAAGCCGCGTATATAAGGTCCAACGACAGCTTAGACCCGAACCGTATTTTCCAAAAAATTTTAAATCGCGGGCTCTGTTGACGTATTTAAAAATGTCGGTTTTTCTGTATACTTAAAGAGATGTTGGGTATCGTGTGGGCTTTCTTTGCAATTTGGGCATTCACTTTGAATTGTTTAATCTATTCTTGACATATATGAGTTAAAGTAAGCCTTGTAGTTTGAACGAAGTTTTTCTTGGTAAGGATTTTTCTGTGAGGGGGGGGGACTATTTAAGACCTTGTTGTTTTCTTGGTTTTGGATTGTTTCACCAACATACTTTGTACGAATAGTTTTTAGGCCTGCTTTATACCATCTTCTTAAATTAGGTGTTGAATGTTTGCAGGAACAGAACAAAACAACGTACTTTTAGACAACAACAAAATAATAGAAGTTTGCTCTAACGTTTCTTTTGACATGGCAATCCAAGCACGGTCAATTTTGCACAAATCTGTTTTTTCAGTTGAGGAGAGTTCACAATCCTGATTTGATTCTTAAAATGACAACTGCCATATCAGTATCCCAGTGAGGAATTTCTCCAAGTTCTCCAGTTTTGGTGACTTGCTTTGAAGAATTTCCGAGGAATTTCTTGAGAACAAGTTCTAGTGAATGATTCCTTGGAAATTCTCGAGAAATTCCTCAGAATTAGTCCCAAATTTGAGAATTTTTTGAGGGATCAAAGTTTTTAGACTTAGCTTAAAAAAATTCCTGAGAATTTCTCCGGAATTTTTCAAAGAAATTTCTTATAATTTCTCCGGAAATTCCTAAGAATTTCTCAGAACTTGGTCACCAATTTTACTGTTTTTTAAGGGTAACTAATTAAGGGATATAGTCTTTGGAAATACTTGAGAATTTCTTGGAAATTTTCCCCAAAGGACTTGATCACTAATTTTACGGATTTTTTGGATAACCGAATAAGAGACATAGTCTCAAGAAATTCCTGAAATTTTTTCAGGAATTTTCTTTCAAGAAATTCCTGAGAATTTCTTAGGAAAATTTCTCTGGAAATTTCTGAGAAATTCTTAGGAACTTATTAAGAAACATTGTCTCAAGAAAATTCTGAGAATTTCTCAGGAATATTTCTTGGAAGAAAATTCCTGAAAAATTTTCAGGAAAACATCACAAATTTTACAGAATTTTCAAGTTTCCTTTTATCCAATAGGTATCTCTGAGGTTCCCTTATACTATGCACTTTCCTAACTAGATATTGCATCCTTATTGTTATCAATAGTGAGGAATTTCCCCAAGTTCTCCAGTTTTGGTGACTTGCTTTGAAGGTGATTACCTTTGAAATCATCTTTCGAAATTTTTTTTTGGGAAAAATGATAAAAAAAATTTACATTTGTTATTGATAATTCAGTCTGAAAATGCAAAATACAAGACAACTTTAATAAGATAAAAAACAATTATAACATTCTGACTTAAAGATGTTGGTAATACTTCTAAAAGTTGAAGTGCAATATAAATAGTTGCTAAAACATTCTTTACTATTGGGTCTAAGTCTGAGCAATTTCTGAGGAAAATCTTGGAATAGTTCCCAGGAATTGGTTCTGAAGAATTTTTCTCCGGAAATTCCCCAAAATTTTTCCAATTTTGGTCGACATTTTCTGCTGTTAATCTCCAGAATTGGTTACGAGAAATTCCTTGGACTGGGTTATGAGAAATACCTCAGAATGGTTACAAGAAATTCCTCGGAATGGTTTATGAGAAATTTCCCAGAATTGGTTATGATATATTACCGTGAAATAATCACTAGAAAATCTCCACCCCCCGGCCAAACCCCTGCCACTGTAAGGTGTTCATCCCAAAATCCTCCA